TTTTTTTTTTAATTTGGACCATTTCTCGATTTATGTGTGTCATCCTTGCGCAGGGGCCATGCTAATCTTCTCTGTATCGTTCCAATTTTAACGGATGTCTCGAAGGACATTTCAGCTAGGTTCTGCATTCATGTGACAGAGAGAAATATAGAAAAGGCGTGAAGAGAGATGTTGGCTATCAAAAAGAGTCCATCTGCATGCCATGCTTGCACATTTTGTGACGGTGCCATGCTTGCACATTCTATGAGATATCACAGCTCTGCATCTGGGAAGGTCGTCTCCCATCCAAGGTCTGTGAAAATGTCTGATTTTTTTTTTTTTCAATAAGCTGGCCCTTGCGGGCCCGGCCCCTTCTGTTCTGGGGAGTATCAGTCCGCCAGCAAGTCAACAGAACGTATATACAACACTTGAACGCTTCCCTGTATTACGGCCCATGGAACCATGACAGCATTGCATGCTTTCCTGTGGAAGGATTGACTGTCCGTGCACCCATCCCTTTTCATCGTGTTCCTCCCGTCTATCATTCTAAGTTGTAACCCTCTCGACTAAACAATGCCAGGAACTCAGAGCCCAGCTATCCCTCCCTGTATTCCTCCGGCGGCCTTTCCGATTAAGCCCTAAGGGCCTAAAGCCCTAAACCCAAGAATAGCCCTGGTCTGTGTGGCGAAAATTGATTCGCAAGGTGTCCCTTCCCTCGCTTGTATCAACCTTCTTGAAAGTTGAGCCCGTGTCTGCCTGTTGTCGGTGTTATATCGTCTCTGATCTTATTTGGGTGGTTGTTCGTGGTAACGTGGAGCATCAAGGGGGATAAATCCTACGCATCCCGAAAACTCGTATGCCGAACCTATTTGCTGAGCAGGGCATTTTCTGGTCATACCCGCAGGAACAGTTGGTAGGCACAATTTTAGCCTGATCACTTTTGGTATATTCATAAATAGTGTGGTCCTTTGTGGTCCGAACCTGGACTGTCAGCAGGTGTGCTCTGTGAGTTTTTGAACCGCTACTGGCCTCCAGCGCCGCGCACGTTACTGTACGGGAAGCATGTAATGATTAAAGTGTGGCCAAATACAGTGGTTTGATGAAATCAAGCAACACACCCATGCATGCAGCGTGTTAGTTTTCAGGGTGAGGCCAGGGTGTAATAGCTAGTTACACCCTGGGGCAGGTGAGGGAAAACAAACAACAAACAAAAGCACAGGGAACTCACACTGCATATTTTTGGGGGAGCACAGGGGCCACGTGGTAGTTATGTTTTGGGGGCACGACCAGAGCAATTTGCTTAGGCCATGGCTTTTTGTCCCCAAGAATTCATCCTATACCTATCCAGCGCAAATTCGTTTTTCGGGATGCCTTGGGGGCTACCTAGAGAAGCTCAGGGCTTATCAGAACAGAGAGCAGGAACAGAACGCGCATACTTGTATCTGAAAGTTCTCAAAATAGGTGACAAACTTCTACTGAAAATGAAGGACCCTCTTCCGGCGATTCAACAGAGATGGGTGAAAGTGCTGAGACTGGAGAACGCGCAGCCAGTACAGCTGCCAAGGCAAATGTACAGATCCCGGAGACCAGTGAAATCAGAAGTCTGCAGCGGATGATAAGTTGCGATAACCTATGTAGCTTTACCGGTTAATGGGCGGCTTCACTTAAGGAGTAGAAAGTCCAACCCAAACAAGCTCAGATGAACTTGGCGAACGTGTCGTATGCAGAAATCAGTCTCAGGATGGCGTTATACACACTGCCTGATCAACTGCCAAGAGCCATCTAATTCTCGGCCAGAGCGATTTGTGGCAATAAGACCAAATCAAGGTGGGTTGGACACACCTGTTGGCAATTATACACTGCCTGATCAACTGCCAAGAAGCCATGGAATTCTCGGGCAGGTCTTTGGACGCAGCTGTTCCTGTCTACCATCCCTGAACTTCCCCTCGAACTCGAACTCTGGACTAACATCCCATCTCAACTAAGCAAGCCCCAAAAACTAGATGGCTTGGATTGACAAGGAAAGAGAGTCAGGGAAGATTGCAGCATCAAACCACCCTTGATAACACCAGAAATCCGATGGAATGGGCTTTCGCAGTGACGAAAGACGCAGATAGAGGCGGAGCTCAGTTTTGCAGATGGGGGAAGCAAAGAGCTCAAATCTGGAACGATCGAGATAACCAGCAAATCATCGAAAGGAAGTTAACTGGGAATTGCTGGTGAACGAAAAAGTGGCGACTGTCCATAATTCTGGATTGTCACCTGGAAGCGGCCGGATTGCCTGCCATAATTCTGACAAGGAGCTTGGCCACCAGAACACCCAGAGGCAGGAGAACTTGAAGGTTTGAACCCCAACTGGGCATAGGAACGATCAAAATTCTTCGAAATAATACCCGTATGACAGTGGACATGGGTGTAGAGTTTGTAGACGGAGAGGAATTCAAGAACATCCTGTCCCAAGGGGAACAGGCTCTCTATTCAAATGAAAACGAGGATTTCTATTCGACTCTTTGAACTGGCAGCGCTTCAGGCGACTCCTTAGGTGTGAGATGTTGGATTAAAATCAATTTGTGGAGGACAATCTGGTCCTGTTCCGGAAACAGCTATGGCGGGAATGCTGTGGGCACAGACAGCGGCTCTTAAACACTCGACAAGATGTAGAGGACAGGAGACCAGGTCTCGAGTGTCATTCTGACTTGTTGCTTCGTTCTGTTTGTGACTTGCTATCTGTTTGAAAATGATGTGTCGTCCAGCTGCGGGACTTGACAGCATTCAGGAAGGCGAAGTATCAGTATGAGCTTCAGGAGTTGAAGAGAAAGGACGACCGAGAAAATGGCGGCGAAGAAGAAGAGTGGGTTCAGCAGTGATGCTTCTCACCAGTAAAGCTCCGTTTGTATGCTCCTGCAAATTAGGAGGCAGCCTAAGGGCAGGAAGGTGGGGAGGGCGGCTACGTAAACCAGCTTGCAGAAGCTAATCCAATGGCTTCAGGGAATGGGTCTGGTCTGCCTCACATGAACTGTACAGTGCACGAAAAGGAGAGTACATCAAATCTCTGGTACGTTATAAGCTACGATTGTGAAAAGCTGTAAAATTATCTAACTTGAGCATGTTGGCAGGTCATTTATGTATGTAGTAATGAGTCCCTCAGGGTTGTATTCTTGACGTGTATTGTGTGCGCTCTGTTTACGCTTGAGATATGGAGAGGTGATTCGCGGGAGGAGTTTTCGTTGACGAAAACAAAACAATGAAAGTGGTCTGGATGGGCGTTCGTTCGCGGCCTCTGCACGCTTGCTCCACCTTCTCATGCTGTTATTCACCTGAATCACCTCTGAGTGTTTGCCTAGCAGAAGCTGATCCAATGGCTCTTTCATCTGTTTATGGCAGAAGGTGATCCAATGGTTTTCAAGATATGTTTGAAATTTGAATTCTTCATGTGTTTGTCAAACTGCGAATCAAGACGGAAAGAGGAGGAGGAGGGTGCAGAATGTGGGGTAGGATAATCCGCGTGGGAACACAGTGTTCTCGTCGGGTGGTAGCGGCCACATCTACCTGTTATGCCCAGGGATGCCAGTTGACATCCCTGCAGTATGCGAGTTTGACGTAGAGTTTATTTGATCAATCCCGTAGAAGGTAAGTTCCCTCCAGGCAAAGGAGTCTGGCGTTATGTATATCACTCTCCACAATAATACAATTCTCCTTGGACGCAGGGCTATGGTACGGGCCGAGTATTTTAGACTCCTGGCCACGTGATCAGTGATCTTGGCGGCTGTGTTGCCATGTTGGTTTGATCTGGCGATGCAACATGAACTCTTTTTTTTTTTCACGGATCTCGGTTGGATGCATTGCATCGCAGGGCAGCATTCACATTTTTTAGTTTCTACATCCTACAGCTCTCTTCGTGTGGTATTGCTCTGAATCCATGGATGTCACACGATGTGTCAGAAACCAGATGTGTCAGATATTGCACGCTGCGCAAGTTGCTTTTCATTGCACAGCGCACCTGGCTTGCCCTTGCTGCTTCTTGTTTCCTTTTCTTTTTTTTTTTTTGTGCAAATGCCTCAACTTATTGTTGGGGAGCTTCATCTGCTGGAAATCAGATCCAGCTACCCTCCTTCCTAGCATTTCTCGTTATCGCATGGCGGTGTGGTTTTTGTTTTTTCCCAACAAAAACTTGGACCATCGGTATGTGGACAGTGTTTCGGACCGGATGCATTCTGACAGATAGAGCATTATGAATGTATTGGCACCAGTAACAGAGCCCGATACGTGTAGAAAGGAAGGCACCATTTTGCACCATTTCACAATTTATGCGTGTCATCCTTGTGGATGGTGCATGCTTATCCATCCAATTTTGTAGGGTGTCATGAAGGGCAAGGCAAAACGGGCCACAGCCTTCAGGTATATCATCATCCAGCTTGGCCGGGCCTGCGCTGTTTCTCTGTTTTGGACCTTGCGTGCCCCACACACACTTCCTGCTCCCCCAGCCCTGATGCAAACACACACTTGGCACGTACGCATACAAGTAGGACAACACAAGCACACACGAGTGTGCGCCATAAACACATGTTGAAAGTTTGATGGAACAGTCTGGCAAAGGTGCACTTCTTTTGTGGAGTGTTAATAGCAGCATGTACGCGGCACACACAGAGACGTGACTACGGGGCGCTCAGACCGTGCCCGAGAGCTAGAGGGATCTCCAGGATGTGAACATACACAGAGTGACGAGGGAAGTATTTCTTGTTTTGTTGTTTTGTTTGTCAAATTTATGCTGGATTCTTCTTTCTCCGTTGTCTTCTTTTTGGTGCATTTTTTGATTGCTTAGATTGTTTACTTTCATTTTCTTTTTTGTTCTTTATTCCTCTTGATTTGTGTCACTTTTGTCTTGTTTTGTGTTGTTCGACTCTCCGTATTTATGGTCGGGAAACATATTCTCTGTGCATGGTGGTGGCCACAGAGAGAGGGAGAGGCTGAGAGGAAGAGAGAGGATCTCAGCCTCTCCCTGTGGCCCTCTCTGTCTCAGCCACTCGCGCACACTCTCTCTATTGATATATACATAGATGCATGTCTATATATATAACCACAACCGGGGTTAAGGTGGATTATCACTTACAGTGTAATCAGTTAAGGGGTTCTGCAGACTGTTGAGGGTTCAGCCTCTTGATGAGTCGGTGATACTCCGACGAAACAGTTTGTCACAGCCCCTCGTTTGTTGTCCTCTTCTCCCTCTCTGCCTACGGTTTACTTGGCAGCTCTGTTTGAAGGTATATACCACAAATTCGCCAGCACCCTGCTACGGTTTTCTCCAGTCAAGTTGAGCGGCAGTGGTCGGGGTCGTCACTACGTGGCAATGCTGTGCCTCTAGTGCCACCGGCGTGTCCAGAGTGAATTTTTTGGCTGTGACAGACGTTTGTTTGTTTTATGGGTGTTTTGCTGGCTTGTGATGGGGTGTGAACCGAGAGTCTGTAGAGTTTTCCATCTGGTGTGGGCGAGTGATAGTCTGCTTTGATTTTTGTCACGGGTACCTTGAGGGCAGTGGCAGTTGTTGGGCAGTCGATGCCGAACCACAACCGGGGTTAAGGTGGATTATCACTCACAGTGTAATCAGTTAGGGGATTCTACAGACTGTCGAGGGCTCAGCCTCCTGATGAGTCGGTGAAACTCCGACTAAACAGTTTGTCACAGCCCCTCGTTTGTTGTCCTCTTCTCCCTCTCTGCCTACGGTTTACCGGACAGCTCTGTTTGACGATATATACATATATACGTATTCGTCTGTCCTGTCCTACGTATTTGGAATTGGTGTGTCCATGTAGTGTTGTGTGTGCGAGAATTGTGCCCTCGTGGGGTCATTGCAGACATGCAAGTGCTCTGGGCTGTGGCCCCCAGCGATCATTGTGCCCGCCCTAAGTGAAGGCGGGCCTGAATATCCAAAGAGGACTTCTATCAACATTTTTTCCATATGTGGGGTATCAGACAGTTGCAGCACGCCAGTTGGTTACAAAGCAATGTGAGCCTCCTGGCTCCTCCAGAAGCAACAGCTGCGTTGCACAGTTGGTTGCGCGCTGGGCACACACAGTGGGAGGCCGACACATCACGCATTGGCCACGGACGAATGAGAAAGCAGCATTGTCGTCACACAACACCCACGTGCCAATCAGAATGCAGCAAACACATGGAGCCTGGACGGCCACCTGGTCGTGCTCAACCAAAAAGGGCCCAGGCCCGTAACAGCAGAGGTGGGCCTGGGCGCAGACACTGGGGCCCAACTGGAAGCTACTGGAAGCTTCCCAGGCCAGGCCCACGCAGCCAGACACAGGGCCGCACTTTCCATAATGGAAAGTGCCTTGCCCAGGCTGGCTCATTCTGGCCTGAGCGGGCAATGCGGCCATCCTGCTGCTGCGGTATGCGGCCAGGTCAGGGCACAGGTGGGCACAAGAGGTGAGAGGGCACTGTGGTGGCAGAGTGGGCGTACGGCGGGCCACAGCCGGGCGGCGCGTGTGGGTGTAGGTGACGGCGATGGTGGTCTTCGGGTAGGAGGCGCATGCAGAGGGGAGTCAAGGTGGGATGAGGGGAGGAGAGAGAACGTACCTGGTGTATGCTGGCGGTCAGCATTGGTGATGACGTCACGTACATAGGTCTTCGACTTCAATGTGATCCAGTCGCATGAACGTAGATAGGATACATAGGCTGAGAAGTGTAGGCTGCGCGCTGGGCGCCAGACAGTATGAGCGACATTGGATACACTGTTGGTGTGAGAGCATCGGCATTGGCACTTGAGTTCATTGTATTGCTCTTATTTGGATTGTAGATTGGTGCATTGTGCTCTCTGCTTTATACGTGGCTATCTGGACTACGTGATTTTGCAAGTTGGATTTATGTCTATCGCTCTCACTCATATTCCTTGCATGTGTTGTGTGTGGTGTGTGTCAAGTTGGACTTCACAGCATTCCAGGGGTGGGGTAGATATCATGACCGGTATAGTTTGTCTTCTAAACGCCGTGTCCTGGCAGTAGTGATTAAGAGACGTCAATTTTTAGACCGAGGGTTCCGGTTGAAATCCGTGCTTGCACGGAGGAGTGCCTTGACCCCAAATGGGCAGATCTATTACTACTGCCCAGCGTGGAGGAGGGCCTTGGGTCCAGATGGACAGATCTATAACTACTGCCCTAGTCTCCATGAGGCAGTGCCGTTGGTTCACGAAGGACATGAGCTTTTTTTATGTGTTTGCAATTCCCAATGTCATTCCTGCCAATCTTCTCGATTTCATGTCCAATCACTCCTTTCGTTTCTGCTCCAGTTCGGTCCTTTTTTAGTAATCGTCATCCTTGCGTTCTACAAATATTGTGAGTTCTCGCGTTAGCTTTTTGTGTTTATGGTCCAGGTTCTAGTGCTGTGGAATTCAGTCTCTTACTTGCTTCTCCCATTCGGTGGGATGCTTTATGGTTGACATCAACTATACACTGTGTGTTTTCCTCCTGTGCTCCTTTTCGATTCCCATTGTAGCACATATCATGTGCTGCGTGTTCACATACAATCAGTGGTGTAATTCCCTATAACCTCCTCCATCCTTCCTGTACTCTTCTCCCATACCTCAGCCCCTGCACCCCACTCTTTTCTTATGCAGACGGCGCTGTACGGGACCTTTGTGTACGTATGTTATAGTCAGCCAGTTCTTTGGAGGACGACATCCATTATGTGGCGTTGGAGTTGCATCGCTAATCCTGGTTATAACAAGACCTCCTAATTGTAAGCAAAGTAAGGCCGAAGTTTTCCCATAACCTAAACCTTTGATTCTCACTTCAACTGACTTAAATAAGTTATATTTCTAATGGAATAGCAGTGTGTGCTACGTTCTCAGCAGTAGCTTGAGCAGCATAATTGGTTGAGCGACGACATCCTTT